GGGTGGGGAGAGCTTTAACTTCTCAGAGGTTCAGGAAGATACTCATCATAACAGTTCTGTGCAACCATGTCTATATTTCCGCCATCTTAAAATATAGCCTCATACTTTCATACATGCTTGACCCCATTTTGTGGAATAAGTAGCAGATTCGTCTATTTGTTCAAGCTTCTCGGTGTGATCTCAGTATTTATTATCTGAATGCTAAGACATACTGTCAGCCAGGTATCGCTCGGATGTGAGAATATGATCTTTGTGAGGGGAACACATTTTTGGCAAAGGCTGGCTTCTGTTTGCAGAAGGGTTATGAATTCTGTCTTGGCTTTAGCTTGGACTTTACAAGATTTATGCAAAGTATTGAACCCTGTTCCCTAAAGAGGTCCAACATCTTTGATTACTCTTATACACTGCAGACTAAAACATGGAGTGGATTCACAGCTTTTCTTGAAATTGGAGTCATTGACCGACATAGCTTGCAAATCAAGCCACAATGTGTAGAGACAGAGGTGAAGTCTATTGAGGCCCACCAGGGAGGGTGGAGAGGAACACTTTAGAAAGGCAAGAACGTGTGGAGCTAAGAGTAGAAATTTGCACAAGAGGGATCTCACTGTGCATTTGGTTATCTGGCTAACAGCTGTTTGAAAAAGAACACTGGACTAGATGAAACATTAGGAGAATCCACCAGTCTAATGTTCACTTTAACACTTCTATATTTTGTGTGGAGAACAGCTGAAAAGCTGTTTCATATTATTTAATTATCAGTTTTCAGGGCATGAATTCTGCTTCACATGTAATGCACTTTTCTCTGCAAAGCAGTTTCTGTATATTCTTTATAATGCAAGTGTAGATAAGTAAGACAAATATGAATATTTAGATTTTTAAAAACAGATTAAACTATAATAGGAGACAATTTAGGATCATCACTGTGATGACACAAGAATCTAAAATGAGAGCTTGAATGTCAATAACAAAAAGGCAGTATTAAAGTGTTTATGACAACAGCAATGAAAATAAAACTGGATGGTTCTGAGTTCCACACACTGTAGGTAAACTGTGCCGCATCTCCAAATTTCTGTTTTATCAGGGAATTTTTATATTTATAAGTCACGTACCCTGTTTCCCCGAAAATAAGACCTAACCTGAAAATAAGCCCTAGTATGGTTTTTCAGGATGCTCATAATATAAGCCCTACCCAAAATAAGCCCTAGTTAAGTGAAAACCCGCCCTCCACCATTGTGCAGCATTGGGCAGCAACCAGAAGATGCCATGACTGTAAAGTAAAACATCCCCTGAAAATGAGCCCTACTATGTTTTTGCAGCAAAAATATTAATATAAGACCCCGTCTTATTTTCAGGGAAACGCAGTAGCAACAACTTCTTCACAGAATGTTCATAGGCTGGACAACATGCAGCCAACCTCATTGGCCCTCCATGAGTATCCTCCATGAGCAACCCCAGCAGTAAAATGTTTTTTTCTTTTTCTTTCCTTTTTTTTTTTGAAAGCTCCAGGAGTGTATTCATCCTTGAAAACAAAGTATATGCTCCCACATGTTGGTGTTGCACAGTAATGGCAGAATGTGTTGTCCACAGCATGATCTAGGAACCAGATTGGCCCCAGACCTGCCTCAGTTGCTTGTACCTGCTATATCTGGCTGCAGAAAAAAGGCAAATGTATTTGGGATGTATTAACAGAAATATAGTCTCCAAATCTGATGAGGTACTAGCACTGGCTAAGCCTCGTGTAGAGTACTGGGTCCCATCCTGGACACCACATTTTAATAAGGATGTCAACAAACTAGAGCAAGTTCAGAGGTGGGCAACAAGGATTTTCAGGGGACTAGAAAGCAAGTCCTATGGGGAAAAGACTGAAAGAACTGGGCATGTTTAGCATTGAGAAAAGAAGACTGAGGGGAAATATGAGCGCATTTTTCAAATACTTGAAAGGTAGTCATAAAGAGGAGGAGCAGGATCTGTTCTTGATCATCCCAGAGTGCCAAACACATAATAGTGAGATCAAGTTACAGGAAGCCAGATTTAGACTGAATATCAGGAAAAACTTCTTAACTGTCAGAGCAGTATGACAATGGAACCAATTACCTCGGGAGGTGGCGAATGCTCAAATGCTGGAGCCAACCATCTGTCAGATCTGCTTTGATTTGGATTCTTGTATTGAGCAGGACTCAATGGCCTTATAGACCCCTCCTGCTTCAATAATTCTATGATGTACTTATGTAGATATTACATGATGTGTATGAAAGGAATGGTGGTTGGAGGAGTTGTTGGTTGCAAATTTTCAAAAAGGAAAATGCCAAACCTTTTAGTGATTAGAGAACGGTAAGCTTAAAGAACGTTTTGCTTAACATGTTCTTAAAAATATACATGGAGTAGGAAGAAAGGCAGAAGCTACACTGTTTGGATTCAGAGGAAGATTTGGAATCAGGGAAGAACTATGCTGCATACATTATTGATTACATACACACACACAAACGTGCAAAGATACACAGAGAAAGAGAGACACAGAGACACACACAGAGACACACAGAGCAGACTCTAACATGGGAAGCTGAAGGAGTGGTTGGTAAACAAGAATCTTGATTCAGAAAATATTTGTATAACTGGCAATCTGTTCTGGCAAAACACTATAGCGAAAGTTAAAAAAACAAATAACACAAGACAAAAAGATAAAGGAGTTTGACAACGATGAGAAAGAAGAGAATATGCTATTTTTAAAATAAGTACTGCTTTTTTCATTTGTACTGCGATAACATCTTCAGGGATGCACTTGCTGATTCAAATGATGGCATTATCATCAGCTGAAAGGTTACCAACTTAGCTGATATGTAGACAATAGCAGTCTTGCTGACTGACTATTAGAACGATGTGCAGGAGGTATTAAATAAAATCAATCAAACAAGTAGATTGGAGATTAAAGTCCACTTCTATAGCTACATGAAATGTTGTCTTCCTGCTGACACAAATACACATGAATGCCTTTATGGGAAATTAATGAGTGATGATGGACATACAGTGGGGAAAAATACAGCCTGTGATAACTGTGTTAAGTAGAGATGGACAGGAACTGCCAGTTTGTGCTGGTCCGTTTTTTGTCTGAACAGATGTTCGGCACTTCCGCGCTCCACCTTCTTCAGGGGACACCCACTCAGAGGCCATGCCCCGATTACTTTGCTCTGTCTCCTCCAGGTGCTGTCTCTGAGGTGACATCTGCAGGAGGAAACAAGGCTGGGAAGCGCTGAACACGTCTTTGGATGAAAAATGAACCGGCACAAATCGCCCAACTGGCAGTTTGTGCCCGTCTTTAGTATCAAGGGTTAGGTATATGCACAAAAGCACAACACCCATTCACAACAACAGCAGCTGATGATAAACTAACATTCCACATTGCCCAGTTAATGGATACCCATGTTGGAGCAGGAAAATATTTTTGTGGCTGGGGCCATAAGTAACACGACTGAACCTTCTGGTAAGTTCTCCTTGAGTTGCAGCCTGCCCCATGATTAGGTTCAGTGAGGTGGCTGCCTGAGGTACTGGAGTGGCAAATGGCAGCACTCCCCCGAGGCCTCCTGCTCCTCACTGCACTCCCCCAAACCCTGTACCTAAATCTGTCAATATTCTAGTCTTACCTTACCTTGACTGTGGGCTTCTGTGGTGTGTAGATTAAAGAAGAAAACACAAATATGTCACATCTCTGATTTCACTTCCCCATGACCTGCGGCAGATTACACCCTCACATTGCACCACTAAATTTCAATAGCAAATCAGGAAAAAGCCCCTAAATCAAACTGGTAATGCTTGGTTTAACTGAATTTCAAACTGAGCGGAAACCCCATATAAAGCAAGTATGAGTGCTAGGTAGGGTTTACTAGCAATAGGTTTACTGGGTCCTGAGCACAGGGGTAAAAGAACAAGCGGAGAGACTATATCCTGTCCACCCTGTTCTTACCATGCTGCTATTGGGACAGATCTGGCAGCTTAGTGTACTGCAGACTCTAATCCCAATGCCAAAGAAACACATGTAGATACTTACTTACTTACTTACTTACTTACTTATTTATTTATTTATTTATTTATTTATTTATGCCACCCACACTACCCAAAGGTCTCTGGGTGGCTTATAACATTTAAAATACAACAAAAATTCAGAACAATTAAAATACAATTAATATATATATAAAAATTGTCATCGGACCCACAGCTAATATTATTTCAATTAAAAGCCTTCTGGAACAGGAAGGTTTTGACCTGGCGCCGAAATGTCATCAGCGTCGGCGCCAGACGAATCTCAGTTGGGAGGGCATTCCATAGTCTGGGGGCAGCTGCCGAAAAGGCCCTTTGTCTACAAGCCGTCCCTCTTACCTCCTTGAGGGACGGCTCTTTCAAAAGGGCCCCCTGGCTAGATCTTAACTGCTGGGTAGGCTCATATGGAAGGAGGCGGTCCTTCAGGTATCCAGGGCCCAAGTCGTTTAGGGCTTTATATGTCAAAACAAGCACTTTGAATTGGACCTGGGCAGCAACTGGTAGCCAATGTAAATTAAACAGAATCGGCTTGATATGTTCCCTGGCGGCCACACCACTCACCAGCTGTGCAGTTCGATTCTGGACCAGTTGCAGTCGCCGGACCGTCTTCAAAGGCAGCCCCACGTAGAGCGCATTGCAGTAATCTATGTGTTCTGCACACAGAAGGTTGCCCCCAAAATGTATATTTTAGACATTAATTTACCAACCAATTAGGGCTGCATTTTGTTTGTTTGTTTGTTTGTTTGGTGTGTGTGTGTGTGTGTGTGTGTGTGTGTGTATACTGCTTTGCTGCCACATGCACAAGCAGTTACAGATGTTAAATGTATGCTCCAAACTGTCCAGTTTCTCTAGTTTGGGGTTTTTGAAAAAGAAGTCTCAGATTACTGATTATGGCATCTGTACTGTGCTTGGAATGTCTCATGAGCAGCTAAGAACATAAATGCAGCATCATTCTTCCTGTTTTCCAGGCTGACATTGCAGAAAAACTGGGTCTTGCACACCACATGGATGTTCTGATGGTGATCACAAATGTGGAATCTACAGCACCGGTGTCAGATGAAAAGACCACCGTGACAGACACAGCATTTAATGGTGTTTCGGTTCGTCTGTACATCCCTAAAGGGCGGCCTGAATCCCTGAAAAGGGCAGTCATTTTTGTTCATGGAGGTGGATGGTGTGTAGGAGGGTCAGGTAAGCACCAGTACTCCCCCCCCCACCCTTTACATCATCACTCCTTAGAAAATGCTTCATTCCTATTTCAAAGGTCCTTCCTATTTAAGGAATAGGCAGTGTATTATCTGCAAGGTTATATAAAAGTAAATGCTTTTAAATACCTTTCCATCTTCAGTTGCTGATCACAGATTACAACTTAAGAAGCTGAAGGCTAGACAGGGAAACCGGAAGCACAGTACCTAGCCCAAGGGTTAAATGTTCTCCATTTTCCTCATGGGGTTTTCACTGAGATGGGATATATGATATCATTTGGTAAGACAATGACCGCTGCCGGTTGGTAAAAATATGGAAAGTATTTATATCTTATTTTCTAGGAAATTCTGCTGAGGTGATGCTATACCCATAAAGGATGGATATTGTTATCTGCCTACCTGAGAGGAGAGTTTGGAAAAGTTTTTACTACAACTTGCAGCATTCTTGCTGGCCAATTTTTCTTGAGGATTTGATTCTTTAAAAACATTCCCTGTTTCAAACCGTTTCTTTCAATTATTATCCTTAAGGTTTTCGAGCGTACACAAAAGTATATTAAGAGTGCTGAACATGCCTTAGTACATTAATAATAATCATGTGCCATCAAGTCAATTCTGACTTATGGCTTTTCAGGGTTTTCCAAGTAGAGAAGTGGTTAGAAGTGGTTTACCATTTCCTTCTTCCAGGGGTGCCTTGGGACTGTGCAGCTTACCCAAGGCTCATACACACACTGGCTCTTCTCACAGGAGGCACAGTGGGGAATTTGAACTCCCAGCTTCTGGCTCTGCAGGATAATAATCAAAAGAAACAGGTTGGAAACAGGGAAATTAAAATAACCAAATCTCAAGGTATCTAACCCACTAAGTGATCCAACCAGCTATTAGTACATTAGGTTCTGAAATACAGTGGTGCCCCGCATAGCGACGTTAATCCGTTCCAGGATTAACGTCGCTATCTAGATTCGTCACTATGCGGGGGGGGAACCCCATAGGAATGCATTAAACTCTGTTTAATGCGTTCCTATTGGGGAAAAACTCACCGCTATGTGGGGAATCCTCCATCCGGCCACCATTTTCGCCGCCCAGTAAGTGAGGGCAGGGTGTGAAACTGCTGCGGGCGGCCACTTTGTTGATCCGGCGGCCATTTTAGAACCGACGATCAGCTGTTCCCAAACATCGCAATGCAAAGATCGGTAAGCGAAACGCTTACCGATCATCACAATGCGATGTTTTGCCTATTAAAAAAGGCGTCGCTATGCGGATTCGTCATTAAATGGTGCGCTCGTTAAGTGAGGCACCACTGTACTTTCAAAAGCTTATGGCTTGTTGTAAGCTATGACTAGTGAATGGGAAAAGGGAACCTATAGTGAAGCAAGAAAGCAATAAAAAGGTGCAGACATTCTGGGAAATGATAATCAAGATTTTAAAAAAGAAATTGGAAATATACAGATACAGTGTGATACACTGGAAAACGTTACTGAGTCAGCATGTCTGGGAGGCATAGCCCAAATTTGTTTTCCCATGATCCACTTATTAATGTGTAAGAGAGGATTATGCGTTAAGCTGGAGAGGAGGCTCAGCTCAAAATCATTCCCTGTTCTGTTCTTGAGCTGTCTATGTTGGTGTGTCTATGTCTTCTTTACTTTATAAAAATACTGTATGTATTAACTAATTGGCAGCATGGGCATTTAATGTCTTATGTCCTGGTAGAAATGCAGTGGCCAGAATAATGTATGATGGGGAAATAAAAAGAAAGAATCAGAAAAGATATAACTAGAGACCACTGGTAATGGCACAGCTAAAAAAATCTAGTAAATCAATCAATCAATCAATCAATCAATCAATCAATAATAAAATGGTGAACTTCATATCGTATATAGAGCCATAAGCATGGTTGGCTTAGTTCTAGCTTGTTGATAAAGCAGTATGTGTTGGTATTGTGTTTCTTTGTCAATGATCCCTTCATAAGTAGAGAGTAGAAATGGGAAAGAATAAAAAAACCTGATATTCATGGAAAATCGCTGATCCATTAAATATTCATCCCTTCATATTTGTGGGTTCAAGAGACCCCCACGAATATGAAGAAAACTGAGACTTGGAAGGGAGCAATGGAGGAATTAGAAAAGATCATAAAATATAAGGCCATGCCAGAGGAGGCTAAGGCCAAGATCACCCACACTATGGTATTCCTGATTACAATGTAAGTGTGTGAAAGCTAGACAGTGAAGTAAGCACACAGGGGGAAATGATTAATTTAAAATAGGTAACTGGAGAAGACCTTTCCAGATAACCTAGACTCCCAGAAAGATAAACAAGTTGGTCCTAGGTCAAATCAAGCCTGAACTTTCTTTGGAAGCAAAAATGATGAGGCTGGCATAGTTTGGGCACATCATGAGAAGGCAAGATTTTCTGGAAAAGAAAACAATGCTAGGAAAACTTGAAGATAGCAAGAAAAGAGGAAGACCAAATATGAGAAGGATTGACTCCACAAAGATAGCCTTGGGTTTACAAGAACTAAGTAGGGCTGCTAAGGACAGACATTTTGGAGTTCACTCATCCATGTGGCTGTCACAGGTCAGAGGCAAATTGATGGCACATATCAACAACAACAACAACACACATAAAGAAGCAAAGTGATGTGAAATATATTGAGCCTAGTCATTACATATATAATAATAATCAGGTGTATGCAGTGTTGACATATTTTGGAAGGACTAGAGGCCATACCAAGAATTTGAATGAAACAGCAGGTGATGAGCTAAGGGCAGTGGAGGTGATGACGTCTCAAAACGTGTACAGTTCGCCCTAAGAGAGCTTCTTGTTCCTAGGTAAGGTAGGTGGTACTGCCCCTTTGCCACCAGGGAAAAATACTGACTGCCATTTTCTCTAGTGTCTGTCTATAGAATAAGGAAGATATCACAGTTTGCATTACCTGAAGGAGCAAACTGGCTTGGGCTGCCGACCCTGTTTAATCAGAACTTTTCAAATGTCATTAGTTAACAGGAGCATTGCAGTCTCTGTTCCTTCAATAGTGGGTATCCTAGCATTTTGCTGTCTTTTTTTTAAAAAAGCATAAATCTCATTTTTCATTTGCATGCATCATTAGCAGGACTTTTTGTTTATTATACTGCCATGTATCCTGAAAATTTTTTAAAAAATAAAATACACCAGAAACTAAAAGAAGTCTGTCATGTTTTAAAATTATAGAGCACAGATTTGAAGCTTGATATGCAAAAAAAGAAAGGCCCCATCCAGAGCATCTATTCAGATTGCCGTCAAAGTCACTTATGCATGGCTAGTTTAGTTCTAGCTTGTAGATAAAGCATTTGTGCTGGGGTTGTGTTCCTTATCCAAGAAAGCAGTGAAGAGTGGAGATTCCTGTAAAAAGCCACTGCAAAAAGAAATAGGGAATTGTTTGTCCATTTGTTTCGGAGAATAATACCCCCCCTCTTATTTTGTTGCAGCCATGAAGTCTTACGACAACCTGTCAAGACTGACTTCTGAAAAACTAAATGCGGTCGTCGTATCAGTCGAGTAAGGGAGAACAAGTCTGCAGGGGGAGTGTTATTCATCCTTGGCTGTTTTGCACATGTGGTTAATAGTGATTAGTGACGGGCACAACCTGCCAGTTTGGTGGATCAGCCCAATTTGTCTACTGCCACAGCAGGTGTTTGAAATGAAGTTTGTACTTACCACCTGATAATCAATAACAAAATAATTTAATTTGGAAACTACGGAAAGTGTGAGAAGTTCTGTTGTGACAATTAGATGTCATTCTGAACTTAAGTAAATTTTTGTTCTAATGACATGCTATCTATAACATATAGTTTAACAGTGGTCTGCAGTAGAGAAAATGAAGGACAACATACTTAAAAGGCGCTTACATTATTAGAATCTTTCAGAAAATAGAGCATTCTAGTAAAACTGAGCTACTAGGTTTCTCGGCTGTGCTTCTAAATTTTGGGGCTGGAGAATCAGGAGCAAAAGCCACACTATCCTTTCGAAGCAGGGTGAGAAGGCAATGTACCTACATCTTGCTTTAGAAAAGAACAATGCTTCCAGAAGCACAGTTCTGCTTTCAAAACATGTGCTTTTCATGTGCCTTGTTTTGAAAGGAAATTCTCTCCCCTTCCCTCCCCCGTCTCTCCCCGTGTGCCTTGTTTTGAAAGGAAATTCTCTCTCTCCCCTTCCCTCCCCCGTCTCTCCCCTTCCTTCCTTCCTTCCTTCCTGAAAAGAGAAGCAAAATGGTCTAATCTAAGAAGGGAGTCAAAAGCTCATGACACCAAGGCTAAAATATATGTTGATGGAAGCTAATGTAATTGAGAAAGGGACGTGGTGGCGCTGTGGGCTAAACCACAGAAGCCTGGGCTGCAAGGCCAGAAGACCAGCAGTCGTAAGATTGAATCCACACAACGGAGTGAGCTCCCGTCACTTTGTCCCAGCTCCTTGCCAACCTAGCAGTTCGAAAGCATGCAAATGCGAGTAGATAAATAGGTACCACCACGGTGGGAAGGTAAAATGGCGTTCCTAGTCACGCTGGCCACGTGGCAATGGAAACTGTCTTCGGAAAAGCGCTGGCTCTACAGCTTGAAAACGGGGATGAGCACCACCCCCTAGAGTCGGACACGGCTGGACTAAAATGTCAAGGGGAACCTTTACCTTTACCTTTACCTTTAATGTAATTGAGCTAACACTGTAACCAATCTAACACTGGTTTTATTTGTTCTATTTTGCATGAGGAGCAAATGTGGTTATTCCCTTCTTTTTCTGTTTCATTTCTTCTTCTTCTTTTTAAACTCATTCCATAAAGGTACAGACTGGCACCAAAGTATCATTTCCCAGTTCAATTTGAAGATGTATACACCGCAACAAAATACTTCCTGCAAAGCAATGTTCTTGACCAGTACAAGGTAGATCCAAGCAGGGTGTGCATTGCAGGAGACAGTGCAGGAGGGAACTTAGCTGCAGCAGTGACTCAACAGGTAAGTACTGTAATTGTGGTTTGAAATAATGGTTTGAAAATAAGAGGGCCCATTGTTCATTGAAATTAGACAAATGAATATTTGCTATATAATCACAGAATCCTCTGCAACATACCAGCCCTCAGTTTTTTAGGTAGGGAATTTTTGATGGAGCAAAGATCTCCAAAATAAAGGACACTGGAAAACTACTGCTTTGCCAGTGTTATTGTATTTTGTAGGTCAGTGCTGACCTACAACTACCCTGATCATGGGAGATGGTAACTGGGGATTATGGGTGCTAAAGTTCAGCGACATTAATGCTGGGATGTTTCTTTTAAAAGAAGCTATCTCAAAAAGAGAAAAGAAAAAGTCCGACAAAAAAGGATTTAAAGACCTATAATTTTGAAATATGTTATTTTATTATCAAAAACTCATGCTAATAAAACTGAGTTGGCAATCTATGTAGATGTATGGCAGCTCCCTGCACAGACTTAAGAGAAAATGTGACGCTCTACTTCACAGCACATTTACCAGTCAGTTGGCTTTCATCTCTGTTTTCTTTTGCCCCGTTCTTAGAGACAAGTAGATCTTAGGAACACTGGGAGCCGAGAATTTTGAGGCCTCAACATAGCTTTAAGGCATTTGGTCAAAGAGCTCTAGAAAAAGAATAATAGATGTCAATGATTCCTAGCAGTACAGCAAACCCAGACTGGACTTACCTGGAAGGATGGCTGAAATCCTAAGCATGTTTCCTAGTAGTAAGTGCTGTTGAACAATCTTAGCTAGGATTGTGCTGATATCACATTGAACATGGGAATTTATGACGCCTAGAAAAATGCAGGGAATGTGAAAGGTTTTTTATTATTATTTTTTGTCTTTTTCGGCCACTGCCATGAAACACAAAATGAAAGAAATACAGGCCAAATCAGGATTGTATAAGTTCCATGTATTGTATAAGGTAGCATATGAAGAATTGTTTGCAGTCTGTGACTCCCTTCGAATGTGTCAGGGAACCCAAGGGGGCCGTATGGCCCTCATGGAGAATGGCTGTCCTAGATCATTGCTGAAGCATTACATCACTTCTGTTAAGAAAATATTTTTCTTTGTCAATTGAGAAACTACCCACAGTGCAATGGAAGTGTGTGTGTGTGTGTGTGTGTGTGTGTGTGTGAGAGAGAGAGAGAGAGAGAGAGAGAGAGAGAGAAGGAGAGGTTCAGCTTTTTTGTGTCTAAGCTTTTGCCCCAGCTGGTTATAAATAGACCTGCGCTGCAGACACCCTAGAAGGAAGAATGCTTGACAAGTTGCAGAGAAGGAGGGAGGGAGAAGTGAATGCTGCAGGCAATTTCTCAATCAGCAGTACACCGATAGCAAAGAAATATACATACACACATACACATACATACACACACACACATCTATCTATCTATCTATCTATCTATCTATCTATCTATCTATCTATCTATCTATCTATCTATCTATCTATCTATCTATCTATCTATCTATCTATCTATCTATCTATCTATCTATCTATCTATCTATCTATCTATCTATCTATCTATCTATCTATCTATCTATCTATCTATCTATCTATCTATCTATCTATCTATCTACCTACCTACCTACCTACCTACATACATACATACATACATACAGTATGTATATGTGTGTGTGTGTAATTTTATATATATATTTAACAGAAGTGATGCATTGTTTCAACAATGATCTGGAAGATGTAAAGAAATAATTCTTTCATTCTTCTCACCATCTGTAGACGATGTGTTCAATTTTTGATATCCTTAAGTGGCCCATAAGACACTTTAGGGCAGTGGTTCTTAACCTTTGTTACTCGGATGTTTTTGAACTGCAACTCCCAGAAACCCCAGCCAGCACAGTTGGTGGTGAAGGCTTCTGGGAGTTGCAGTCCAAAACTCCTTTTTGATATCCTGAAGTGGCCCATAAGACACTTTAGGGTACCAGAAATTAACACCAGAAGGAACTGCAAGGCTCTAATTAGTTCATTCCAAATGACCACACTCACTGGGAATGGATTTTACTCAAGAGTTCCAATCTGTACCAAAATAGTAGCGCCCCTGACAGGAATCCAAAAAGGTGTGGGACAGTTCTTAAAGGAGAAGGATGGATTGCTCTAAAGGGAATCAGATGTGGATGCCATAATTTGAACCAATCCAAACTATATCAACCGTGATACATATATTGCTTTATATACCAGTGTAGACAGCCTCATAGCCTCCCTGAATTTTGGCAGGTTGGCTCTCTTCTTTAGGGCATATGATGTCTCCAAATGTCACATTCATTGGTGCAAAAAGAAAAGAAAAAGCTATAGCTTTTTTGGTTATTCAGCTTATGTCAATGGGAGGCTGGTGATCTGAATTTACCAATTGATCCAAATCTGGGGGCATGACTGAATCAGATGGGGATATAGATAATCTCAGGCAAAGTTTGGAACCGTTTGGAAGCCCTGAATTAGTCTCTTAAACAAACTGGGGTAACCCTTGTCCCCAGTATGAATTTCTTTAAAACCGAACTCCTTAAACACTACTGTAAATATCTGGATTTTTAAACTTCCTGTTTCTTCTTATATTATGAAATATTAAACATATTTTCTGCTTAGATTGGCCATGTGTCCTGGGAGGAAACAAACAAAACAACAACAAATCTCCAATCTGTTATCACTTTTCCCCTGTTAACTCTTACAGCTTCTACATGACCCCGACATCGATGTTCAGTTGAAGATCCAAGCTCTGCTTTACCCTGCTCTTCAGACCCTTGATTTGGATTTGCCCTCCTATAGAGACAATAAAGACATGCCAATTCTACCTAAATCATTAATGCTCAGATTCTTAAGTGAATACTTTACAACTGACCTCTCTTTGATGGAAGCAATGGAGACCAACCAACATGTTCCTCCTGAAGCAAGCAATTTACTGAAGTTTGTAAACTGGAGTAACTGGCTACCTGAAAGGTTTAAAAAGGGGCACATTTATACCATCCCCAAACATGAGAATTCCAAGATTGGACAGAAATATCCAGGGCTGCTGGATCCAAGAGCAGCACCGCTACTGGTTGATGATGCTAAGTTGCATGGGTTGCCCCTCACATATGTTCTCACATGTCAGTATGATGTCTTGCGGGATGATGGAATCATGTATGTCTCACGACTTAGGGAGGCAGGAGTTCCAGTAATACATGAACATGTTGAGGATGCTGTTCATGGGATTCTACTATTTACCACCAGCCCATTCATCCTAACTGCAGGAGAGAGAGTGGTCAATAATTACATCGAGTGGCTAAATAACAACCTATAAAAGTAAGAGTCTCTATGGAATGCTATCGGCATTGATTAATTCGGGCAGTTTCACAATGTTTTTGTTTTCCCAAAAAGGAAATTACTTTTTGATGAATCATTTTGATACTGTAGTTCTATGGCTATTGTAATTGATATGAAATCCTTTCTTTCTTCTTTTTGGACAATTCTGAAATAATCTTGGAGTCTTTGTTTTTTTGTTTGTTTGCATCTCCACCACATTGTTCTTAAATTAAAATAAAACAGATATCAAACAAACGATACGTTCAGACCTTTCCATGTTTGATGCTGTTGCCTTGGTGTTATTCTCTCCTCCACTGGCTATATTCCTCACCCATATTCACCTCTGTGACGTGGGAGTCAGTAGCATGTGAAACGGCAGCTTTAATTAAATAGCTCTTTGAACTTTAATGTTTTTAACCGGTAGCTTTAACTGGTAACTGTAAGTTTAACCTAGATTAGGATAAATTCATAAAACCAGATCACCTCCAGTTACTGTGTCCAGGGGTACCTGCTTAACCTTGGGGAGGTTGAACATTGGGTTCCCAGTTTCCCTTGGAATACATCATTGAGCACATATATGCCAGACAGGGGATACTGCAACAGTGGCTTATACAAACCTACTGTATTCCAGTGATCAGTCCTCCCTTCTTCCCTGAGGAACTTCCCAAGACCTTTTGCATTTGGCAACTTCACTCTTCCATCTTGGGTCAGTCTATGGCTGCTTCTCTACTCTTCTCCGAGGAACTAGCTTCTTAGTCCTGACATCCTCTCTCCCCTTTTTATTTATTGGTATGGCTGCTTCTCTACTCTTTTCATGGGAACTAGCTTCTTAGGCCTGACATCCTCTCTCCCCTTTTTCTCATTCTCCCAAATAAGGTGGCTTATTTCTGCTCGTTTTCTCGTTCTCCCAAATAAGGTGGCTTATTTCTGCTCCTACCTTAGGGATTCTAAATAGGACAGGTTTCTCTGCCCAGAGATCTTCCTTCATGACCTACCTCAGCACTCTTATATCTACTAAACTGACTTCAGTGATCTGCTTTTCTACCACATCTTCCTGGACCTCTCCTTCATCAGTTCCATCTCTCCTTGACTGCCTTTTTGTCTCCTTTTAGAAGAGCCTTGTGGTGCAGTAGTTAAACTGCTGTAGTGCAGCCAAAACTATGCTCATGACCCAGGGTTCAATCCCAGGTAGCCGGCTCAAGGTTGACCCAGCCTTCTATCCTTCCAAGGTTGGTAAAATGAATACCCAGCTCACTGGGGGGGGGGGGAACGACAATGTGCAGCCTTTCATTGCAGCCCTTCCAAGACTCGGTCTTCTGATTTCCTGGATGCACTTTCCATTAGGACTGATGATTGAGCCAAGGTATACGAAATCCATAACTATTTCAATTTCTTCATTGTCAGTGTTAAAATTGTGTAGTTCTTCCATAATCATGATTTTGGTCTTTTTAATGCTGGAGTTCTGCTTTAGCACTTTCTTCTTTCATTTCCATTAAAAACTGTTTCAGATCATTGCTGCTTTCTGCCAGTAAGATAGCATTATTTGCATGCCTTAAACTATTGATGTTTCTTCCACTAATTTTCAGTCCTCCTTCATCTGAATATTACTTTCTATATGATATGTTGTGTGTATAGATTGAACAGGAAATGGGATGAAATGCAGCCCTGTCTGACACCTTTACTTATAGGAAACCATTCTGACTTTCCTTATCTGTCCTAATGGTAGTTTGTTGTCCACGATACTGGTTATGTATCAGGACAATGAAGTGCTGAGGCACACCTGTTTCTTTCAGAACAACTCACAGTTTCATGTGATCCACACAGTTAAAGGCTTTGCTGTATCTTATAAACCACAGACTTATCATCTTAGTTAATTCTTCTGTGTGCTCCAATAGCTACTGGATATTTGCAATCTGATCTCAAGTGGCCCTTTTCGGAATCCAGGCTGAATATCAGGCATTTCTCACTTCATATAAAGTAAATGCTTTTGCTGCAATACCTTGAGCATCACTTTGCTTCCTTGGGAGATTAGAGCAATGGTCCTATAGTTGCTTCACTCCCTGGCATCTCCTTTTTGGGGGGTTGGAATATATATTGAATGTTGACGGTCTGTGGGCCATTGTTCAGTTCTCCATATTTGTTGGCATACTCTTGTTAGGATTTTGACAAATTCAGTCTTTGTAGCTTGAAAAAGTTCTATTGGTTTCCCATCTATGCCTGATTATTTATTTCTTCCCAGTGCTTTCAGATCAGCTTTCTCTTCACATTCTAGAACTGCAGGTTCTTCGTCATAGAATTTCTTCTCAAAGGAGTCTGTCATCCTTTTATTTCTTCTGTATACAGGTCTTCAGAATTACTATTTCCACTTTCTGTTGATTTTCTCCTGGTCAGATAGTGTGCTTTCATGTTGGTCTTTCAGCATTCCTAATCTACGTTTAAATTTCCCTTTCATTTCTTGGATCTTCTTGAAGAGAGCTCTTGCTTTTCTCCCTTTGTTGTCCAAAATGAAACATTTTGTGTTGGAAGATGACACTCCCAGCTTAGGAAGCACTCAGTCTGCTACTGGGGAAGATCAAAGAACAAGTATAAATACCTCTGTTGCTAATGATGTAACTAGACCAGGGGCCTCCAAACTTTTGAGCGTGAGGGCCACATTGTATATTTTCCACATTTCTGAGGGCTGAAGGAACGTCTACGAGCATCTGCATGCACACACTTCTGCCTGCCCACCCCCGGTGTGCATGCCTGCATGGATGCCTCCTTCCTCCCCGCCCACTTCCATGCATGTGTGAATGGGCTAAAGGGAACAGGACAGATAAAATGGCAGGTGGGCCAGATGTGGCCTGCGGGCTATAGTTTGGAGACCGCTGAACTAGAGGAAAGCTGAAAGGAATCCTAATAGCTGATGTGCATAGAAGTGAAAGGAAAATCTGCAGCTGTACAACACATGCAATTGAGACATGGAATGCAAGGAGTGTGAATCAAGACAAACTGGAAACCCTAAACCGAGAAATGGAATTTATAACTATGGAATATATAAACATTGCAGCACTTGATGTCAGTGACCTAGAGTGGACAGGAATGGAATATTTTCAGTCAGGCAACTACAACATGTTCTACTCTGGAAATGACAAATTCAGAAGAAATTGAGGCAAGATGTAGCACAGGTAGTAAGATGCTATAATGCAAAATCTGATCAAATAATATCAATCAGACTCAATGGAAAATCTATTCAGCATAATCATCATCCAAGCTGATGCTCCAAGTACCAGTACTGAAGAAGATGAAACTGAAAGTTTTTATACAAGCATCCATACAGTGTATTATTGCAAAACTGGTATTGCAATTCATTCCCTAGACAGGTAAAATGTTTTATCTCAGTAATGTGACATCACAGCAGCTAAGCCAGATGGTGGCAGAAACTACACCTTTACATTCACAAACAATGCATTATAAATCAATTCACAGAGAGGGGTGCAGCAATCATTGGAGTGTATCTCTGGAGGAACATTTCTCCAGGACAGCCAGCTGGCTGTTGCAGGTGAAGCAAAGAACTGTAAGGAATGGAAGAAAGAATGGTGCTTGCTTTGTCCTGTTAGACAGAAGTCTTCATGTATTTTTGTTTGTTTGTTTGTGTTTTGCAGTGGCTTAATTTGTTTCAGTTACATGAACATAGGAAACGCTGGTGAGGCCATTTCAACCAGAGGATGAAAAGACCTTGTTGTGAATGAGCCACTCCGACCCCTGTTTTTGTGGTCATGTTGTCTTCTCAGTCTGTCAAACTGTGATACATATATCCTGCCAATTGGAAGCGACCAACGGTACAGAATTGTATGTTGTATTTCCGCCCTCTAGTGGGTAGAAACAGATCATTGCAAAACATCTTCTCTTCCTATTGGGAATAGCTGTAGCTGTATCAATTCAATTTGGATGGTGCAGTTGGCTGGAAATCTTACTTCAGTGTGTTTTTGAATAATTTATTAAAAGTTGTGTTTTCCCTCATCTTCAGAACAGAAAGGTTTTTTTTTTAAAAAAGTCAAATATGGCAAAAACATATTTCTCCATTTCTACATTGCTTGTAAAGAAATATAGATATTTTTAAAGATCATCAGTCGTCCAGGGACCGCCCTCAAAATTCAGAAGCAAACTTATTTAGAAAGATCATGACCAATGCTAAAAATGAAGCTTGCAAAACTTTACCCTTGAAAACCCAGCTCCCATCATCCTCTAGGCAAGTAGTCATGCTAGCTAGGTGACAGATTCTGTGATGTAAATTCCAAACAAAAAGAAAAACACCAACTTCCCCAAACCTTGGTAAGTGCTGTGCTACTGGAACTTCTCACTGCCCGGGAAAATAAGCACAACCAGATGCTACTAAATCCGAACTACTTCATTCAGGTTCAAAATGAAAGAGAACAAATGTTCATGCAGAATGATTCTTCTCATTCCATGAGATGGTGTAATATTTTGTGGCATGTTTTACAAAAGAATGAGAACAGGAGAGATTTTTTGTGCACTTTAATTACAGTTATGTCAATAAAAGAAATAACACAATAAGACAATGGCTATCACTTTGTGACATGGACTTCTAGGGGTTAGAAGCAGCAGATAGGCTGTTTGTATCTTTTTAACAATCAGCAAGTTATACTGCACTTGTTGTGTGCTTTGCTTTGGAAAGGGAAAGAATGCTAGTTTTGCTCTCAAGCAGTTTGTATAAATAATAGAAACCCTATTGAAAACAAATGGTGGTTCTTGTTGGAGTTTTAGCAGCCTCATATGCTGCCTTTAGTAGGTTTGGCAGGGAGGGACATTTCTAGGCTGGGGTGACTGTCAATCCATCCAGTTGTAAGCAATTGTTCTTGCCCTGCCTGATTTCAAAGACAGCCATGCCACTCTGTACTTTTCCCTTTCTTTTAGTCTGCTGGCAGTTAGCAGTTATGCAGTTAGGGTGCATTTATGAGAATATAGTCTGTATGACTCTGCTGGAAGCAGGTTGCAATTCTGTTGAGGTCTCTTACTCTAAGCAGTCATTTATGTTTAGTATGCTGTTTATTCAATGGTGAGTCAAGGAAACATTTTATTTTTTCCCTTACCAATATCTCAAAGTGAGTTATTCAGACTGTAAGTGCTAGTTGATGAGACAATAGGGGGTGGTCTACTCTGG